TATGGAATCTTTCTGTGAAAGAGGTGACGAAGCAAAACCTGAAGTCACCAGTAGAGTGGAGACCAGCCACATAAAGACTGTATTTTCTCCATGTATAATAACTACATTTGCTGTTTTCTCTGTGAATACAGTACCATGACTCACAATTCGGTCAATCATGTCCGCTGGTTCATAAAAATGGAAATTTCTGTCAATTCTGTCCGTGAATTCGGAGCAGATTTTGTTTCGCGAGAGCATGGGTTCCATAATTTGAATGAAATGTTCTCCATGTTTGTCATTGGTAATGACAAATCCTACATTTCCATGCAAAGTACAGGAGGAGCTGGACTAAACCCTTGTACTGGAGATCTTCATCAGGGGCCATGCGATAAAAAGGGGGGAAACGTGATTCATCAGTTGCTACCAATTGAAATGAACCATATGCAATCTAAAAAAAAAGAAAGAAAGGAGAAATGACCAAGAGGGAATAATAAAGTAAGTGAAAGTATCAATGGATGCATTTTATTTTTTATAGATTTTAAATCACCCCATGTTTCACAATATGGGTATTTAATATTTTAATTTGGTTTAGAGACATGGCTTGCATATCATATATCATATATCATATCATATCATATCATATCCAGAAGGGGTATTCAGCAGGTTCTGACCAGTTCTGCAGAACCGGTAGCAGAAATTTTGAGTACTTCAGAGAACCAGTAAATATCGCTGATTGGCTCAGCCCCCATCTATTCTCAGATTCCTGAGTCCCAGCTGATTGGGAGGAAATAGGGATTTTGCAGTAACTTTCTCCTGGAGTAGGGAGGGAATGGAGTATTACAGTATTCTTCTCCTGCCACTTCCACCCAGCCACGTCCACCAAGCTACACCCACATGGTAATAAAAACTTTTGAATCCCACCACTGATCATATCATATTAATCTATCCATCCATCATCTATCTACTTACCTACCTACCTACCTACCTACCTACCTACCTACCTACCTATCAAGCAACATGGAGAAAGCAGAACTACTTAACTCATTTTTGCATCTGTCCAACCTATCAAAAACAGCACCACAAAAAACAGAGTAGGATCACGTTAAAATAGGGAAGAAAATGGTAAGTGAGCAGCTGTCCAGATGGATTACACTCCAAAGTTCTGAAGGAACAAGGAGGTGTGATCTCAGACTCACTGGACTACATTTTTCAAAAATCTTGGAGCACTGGGAAACTACCAGAGGACTAAAGCTAAAGTAGTTCCCATTTTCAAAAAAAGAAAAAAGTAGATCCAGGAAACTAGACCTATCAACCTGACCTCAATACCTGGCAAAATTCTCGAGAAGATAATCAAACAATGAATGAGTGAACACCTAGAAGCAAACAAAGTAATAAACAAAATCCAACATGGGCCAAAAACACATGTCAAAACAAAACATGCTAGATAAATCTCCTTGCATTCTTTGTCAAAGTGACAAAATTAGTGGATGAGAGATATACGGTGAATATAATTTACTTGGACTTCAGTAAGGCATTTGATAAAGTAGACCATAACCTACTACTAGATAAAGTAGAAAAATTTGGGTAAGACAGAATCACCACCAGATGGATTCATAACTAGCTGACCAACTACACTCAATGTGTGGTCCTCAATGGAACTGCATCTACATGGAGGGAAGTATGC